TATAAAGGGTTTGCTGCTGCTAGCACGGAGCACCTATAAACAAATAAATAAACAAATAAATAAATAAATATATAAATATATAAATAAATTAAAAAAATAAAAAAAAAATAAAAAAAAAATAAAAAAAAAATAAAAAAAAACGGCGAAAAAATGAAAAAAATAAACACAAAATTAGCAGCTAGCACTGAGCACATATAAATAAATAAAAAAAATAAATAAATAAAATAAAATAAAATAAATAAAATAAATAAAATAAATAAAATAAATAAAATAAATAAAATAAATAAATGAATGAATAAATTAATTAATTAAATTCTAGTATTTCATGCATCCAAAAAAAAATAAAAACAACAAAAAAACAGAAAAAAAAACAACAAAAACCAAACCAAAAACAAAACCAAAACCAAAAACAAAAATAAATAAATAAATAAATAAATAAATAAATAAATAAATAAATAAATAAATAAATAAAAATAAATAAATACCTAGCGTTGAGTGTTGTATGTATTCCTGCTTTAGCAACAGTAACAGTTTGCTGCTCTAGCATTTTATGCACAGAAAAAACAATAAAAACACCAAAAAAACAGAAAAAAAAACAGAAAAAAAAACAAAAACAAAAAAACAAAAACAATAAAAACAAAAACAAAAAAAACAAAAAGAATAAATACCTAGCATTGAGTGTTGTATGTATTCCCGCTTTAGCAACAGTAACAGTTTGCTGCTCAAGCACTTCATGCATCCAAAAAACAATAAAAACACCAAAAAAACAGAAAAAAAAACAGAAAAAAAACAACAAAAACCAAACCAACCCCAAAACAAAAACAACAAAATAAATAAATAAATAAATACCTGGCGTTGAGTGTTGTATGTATTCCTGCTTTAGCAACAGTAACAGTTTGCTGCTCAAGAACTTCATGCATAGCAGCAGTATCTGTCTGCAGCATTTTATCGAATTCATCTATGCATATAATATTATTATCGGCAGCAACCATGGCCCCCCCCTCTATCCTTTTTTCATTTGTTTCTTTGTCTGCAACAACAGCAGCAGTAAGCCCTACCCCGCTGCTGCCGCGCCCATTCGCGCTCACAGCAGCAGCAACAAGCCGCAGCACGAAACGCAGCAACTGAGATTTGCCGCATGAGGGGTCACCTAGCAGCAGCACATGGATGCTAGCACGTACGCGGTGCCTGCTG